CATGGAAATAGGTATGAGAATAGCTACTATGCTGTGAGTTCATTGTAGATTATTGTAAACTGTATAAACTGTAGATTGGCAGGTATATAACGTAGAGCATAAGAGAAATCTTATCACAGCGATCTATGCGTTATTTTGTGTCACTAGTTAAAATTTTAACAAATATTGATTCAACTCTACTACTACATTTATAGAAATTACTATAATATTAATACGTATCCAATTTCGAAATCGTCCTTGATTGGTGTTATTGGAGATCATTTTGGGGCATTCCAAACTAAAGTATTCAATTCTGTAAATTACTATTGCATTTCTAGTTGATCCTGAAAGTGGCGGTGGTACGATATCACTATATGATGATTTTGATTCTGCACCGATAAGAAGAAGTCCTATTCTTAGTGAACAATATTTGTATAAGATGGAAAATAAGCCGCTTGGCTATGCTTTGATTATCAATAATAGGTTAATGATCTACGGTGATACGTTAGGTGTCATATTTTTTGTATTTATAAACTATCAATCATTAACCGTATACAATTTTATCTCTTTATCTTGTTAATAACTAGAAAATTCATTGGGATGCCTGAACGTAAAGGTAGCGATAGAGACGCTGAAGGTATGCAAACTCTATTGGTAAAACTAGGCTACAAAGTAGCAATGGGCAACGATTTGAGTGCAGCTACAATGAAAGATGTATTACAACGATGGGCCGCCAAGGATCATAGTGCTTGTGATAGCTTCGTATGCGTGTTATTAAGCCATGGCGAGCAAGGTAAAATATTTGGCACTGATACCGACGTGGATATCGAAGAATTACTTGGACTGTTTAGAGGTAATCGTTGCGCTTCACTGGCTGGAAAGCCAAAGTTATTTTTTATTCAAGCTTGTCGTGGTACAAACTTTGATGAAGCTGTCGATCACGTTGACGGCGTTCCTGATGAATCAGCACTAAATACAGAAGGTTATGAGGATGAAGTTGATGCTAAAACTCGGCAAACATTACCATCTGAAGCAGATTTTTTAATTGCCTATTCGGTTGTTCCAGGTTATTATTCTTGGAGAAATTCTACAAATGGTTCTTGGTTTATGCAAGCAGTTATTGACATTTTTACTAAATATTATAAGCAACTGGATCTTATAACAATGTTAACTATTGTTAATAATTC